ATACGATACAAAAGCCATAGTTAACAAAGCAATGTTTTAATACATCACTACTTAAATACAGCTCCTATTCAGTTTAAAAGTATTTATATTATTCTCATGACGCACCATATGTTGATTTTTAAAGAGGCCCTATTATCCTTCTTGGGGTTTTCCCTTTCCTGTAGTGTTTTATATAGGTTTTAGTGCATGTCAATGATCTGCAGAGGCTCACATCTTAATGCTTCTCTCCCACACACTAGGGCTGAACGATTAATCGATTTTAAATCTTGTGTGTCAGTCATCTACACCAATCAGAGTGCTGTGCTCCACATGTACCAGCCATTGTTAACCAATCAGAAGTGGCCCATGATAGAAGGTGATAGACAGATTGATCCAATCACCTGCCAAGTGCTTTTGAAAGTGCCTGCCCTTTCCAAATGGCTTCCAATGGAGCTTTCCTAGATGGTTTCTGAGTCAGGTTAGTAACGCTCCATCACATGTTTCTATTACAGGGTGAATCTTAAACTGAAGCTTGACTTTAAAGCAACCCAACGAAAATGTCATGTAAGTTTAGTTTTTTCACTCGTAGCTCGGGCTGCGGGGGTGCTAGAGACGGGAGCACGTTGATACCACCTTCCTAGCCGGAGTTATGGCCGCATTTTACAATAAACTTCCGTTGGGTCGCTTAAAAACAAATATCGCAAATCGAATCGCAATATTTGTCAGAGAAATCGCAATTAGATTTTTTCCCAAAATCGTGCAGCCCTACCACACACTCATTAAATAACCTTCAATTATTTCAACTCTTGTTTGCCTTATAATCATAAAGACGATGCGATGGAATAATATAAATGAGATACATGGTCTCCTGCATTGTGAAAGCATGAGGCGAAACCCTTTAACATTCTGCAGAACAGACAAAGGTTTTTCTCCGCATTCTCTGACAGCTTAACCTTTTTCGAGCTTCAGTGTGACACGTGAAGACTGAATGTTTAAATCTTAATTGAGAGTTTCTCAAGTCCTCGGTTGGACATTAAAATGTGTGAACACACACACACACACACACACACAACGATATCATTTACTCCTGTTGTTTTAAGGCTTTATTTGATATCCTCCACTGCCTTGTGTTGACACCATCTGAATATCTCTTTTAATTCAATGTTCTGTCATCTATTAGTCCAGTGGTTTTCAAACTGTGGGGCGCGGCCCCTGGTGGGTCGCGGAGGTACTGCAGGGGGGGGCGCGGCCCCTGGTGGGTCGCGGAGGTACTGCAGGGGGGGCGCGGGAAGATTTTTTTATTTTATTATTTTCTCCTTTTAGCTTTGTGAAGCACCTTGAGATGACGTTTTTAAAGTGTGCTATATAAATCAAATGTATTATTATTATTATTCAATTGTAAAACACTGCTCGAAAATATCTCATTGGTCAGAGAGCTGTGGGCATAATGCTGCCTTTTGCAACATCCTACTTGTGTGAGATCGGCTTTTCTTGCTGCCATCAAATCGAAATACAGATCAAAGCTGAACATTGAGAATGAACTGAGGGGCAGTCTCAAAACAGCAGCCCCGCTTTGAGAAGATCTGCGAGGGAAAGCAAGCACACACAAGTCATTGATGAGCTATGTGTGGAATAGGAATGGTAAAGTGATGTGATCGTTTGCAACCTGCAGTAGAAATAGTAGTTCATTCATATATTTTCCTTAAAGAAATTTGAATTTAAAAATGTACTACTCTACGCCAACCAATTTTAATTAGGCCAAATTAATTCACAGTATCCATTACAAGCACTTTTGTCCATGTGTAATCCATAATAAAATATAAAAGTATAGTTGGATCTTTGTATCTTCTTATTATCAGCAGAGAAAATGTAATGTTTTTACAACAATATACAATTAATCCTACCAATATAGATGGGAACCGGGTTGGGGGGCCCGAGAATATTTCCAATTACCCAAGGGGGGCCCGACTGAAAAAGTTTGGGAACCACTGTATTAGTCAATTACTTTTCCTGATGAATTGGGGTTTTGTATCCAAGTCATGATTGTGACAACAGTAGGACCAGATCTCACTGTCTGGGTGTTTCCCAATGTCGAGTACGCTTGCTTGGTAGCACATGTCTTCTGAGTCACTTGCTTCAGAAGCAAGGCAAGAACACTTCCTGGCATTCGGGGAAACGAAGAGTGGAACAGGCTAGCAAGTGTGCATAAGCCCCGCCTTACATTTTCCGCCACAGATTTGGGGAAATTGGTCCGTGCGCAAAGCATTGTGGGGATTTTAAGACCGCGGAGTCTACACGTGTGCAGCCTCGAAATGTCTCGCGACGAAGTACGCTCGGTAGAATTCCAAGTATGCTGGACATTGCAGCAGCCTTCCTCGACATTGAGAAACACCCTCTGTCTCTCCCCTCGTAGCTCCAGTGGGACTACTCATGATAAATATATCCATTTATGATCGATTCATCTAAAAAAAAGTTATGCTATCCAGAGTTAGTATGGATCAAGCTGTCTCGTGTCATGCATCGCCTAATTTGTACACCGCTTGATGCTACTGAACTTGGAGAGGTGTTTTAATCATGTTTACATTAATGTAGAAATATATGTGTAAATGCAGCCAAAAAGGCACTCATTCACTCACTCATTTTAGTTACAGAATGACAGCATTAGGGATATCTGCACTGGTTAATGGTGCGTCCAGATTGCAACGGGCTGATTAATTGATTAGGCTCCATTAGCGAAGGAGCATTAGAAGTGCTATTCATTTTTCAGCAGTAGCAGCAGCGCCCCTACCCGCGCTGCTGGAGAGCAGATGGCTTTGAATGATGTATTTTGTTGGAACAGTAAATATTGACAAGTGTGTCAGGGCGGCTCCTCCAGCTCCCCACAGATGATGCAATCAGAGATCATTCTTAGTGACCTCTGGAGAACATGTGCTTAAATTCATTGTGGCCAGAAAAAAAAAGGGTAGGTGAGAAACTGTGCTTCAATCCCTTGTGTTACGCTCTATTGTGAATGCATATGTATAGAGGGGGAGTATACAATGGGAATGGTCGGATTTTTAATGGCATCGGTTTGGCATGGGGAGAACGAGATAACAATGGGTCCTTGTCTGGCTCCACTTTGCCTCCAGTCACAATAGCGCCGCGTCATTTCAATCGGAAAGCCAAGAAAACTCATTTCTGAGCCGCCTTGACATCAATTGCACTCTTCCGCGCAGTGGCAATTGTAAATCGATTGCTTCACGCTGATCCCCCTTTCCAGACTGGGTGAAATTTAGCCAATTTCAGACACAACATCGAAACTGTAAAGCGACATGGAGAGACCCGTGAAAGTAAAAATACAGTTATTACTTGCAATGAAATTATGTTTCTCTGTCTAAGCATCAAATACATGTGGTACCTTTTTAATATAAGAAGCTTTGAGGAACATTAAAAGGACTCCAAATGTTCCAATCCACCCTTATTGCATGTCCATTCGCTGTGGGGAACCAGTAGAGTACATGTGCAAACACAGCAAGATGTCATTAAGATATTGATCAAGGGTCTTCCTTGCTGAGAGGAGACAGCGCTGCCAAGTGAGAGGCATCGGTTACCAGCCAGGAAGATGGACCCCCGGGGGTTTGGACACCATCAAGGTGTTAAGTTAACCCAGGTCAGTGGCTCCAAGGTGGCAGGGAGCCACATCATTGAAACCTTCCCCAGCAGGGAGGCTCTTAAAGCTACAAATGGTATACATACTGAAGTCAGATTACTTTAGATAGTACAATGACTCCAATACATGTAAGGCAAGTTTATTTATATAGCACCTTTCAATACAAGGCAATGCAAAGTGCTTTACACAAATGAAAGACATTAAGAGAATGGTATTTAAAAGCAGAGATAATAAAACGTGAATAACAAGAAGGTACATGAATTCAAGTTACAGTGCAGTGTGAGATACACACATCTCAAATATAACTACTTCTGTTACTTGCATTTTCTTAAAGAGGCCCTATGCTGTAGTGTAGAGTGTTATATACGCTTTGGGTTTTTTGTGCATGTAAATGGTCTGCAAAGGCTTAAATCCCTTGCCTGAAACGCTTTCAACGATTCTCTTATTATGCACGGTTTTTACGAGTCTGTTATTCCATTACGTTTATTTATTGTGTTCCTTTCTGTTTGTCTTCCTATGTGTTAATGTTGATGTCAAGCACTTTGAATTGCCTCTGTGTCTGAACATGTGCTGTACAAATTACCTTACCTCCATTGGACTCCTTTGTCAATAAATACTAATATGAACCGGAACATTTGCAGAATATGTCCCGACCCTAACCACGCCTCGACAAATATAACGTGTTTGATCAAATGTGGTTTTTCCAGGCAGCGGTTTATCCTTCCAGAGAGATGTGTTGTTGTTATTATTGTTCGCCAACCAGTCATCGCCCCCGGGAGAAAACCACAGATGATGCTCAGATGAAGTGTCTTTCTCGGAAACTGTGGGAATAATAGCTCCTTTCTTTCTATCTCCACTGCTTCTTCCATCCTTCTCTGTATTTTAGACCCTGAGAGTCAGCGGGCCGCCTCCCGTTCTACTCCTTCATCCATGAAGACACAGGAAATTAGATTATCCTTGGTCAATGTTTACGTTTCAATATGGTGGTGCTGGTTGGCAAAGGATGTGGGTGTTATTTAACGCTACAAAAAAGTATAATCAAATACATAATTGTATCCTCAAATATAAAATCAGCACATTTCTCCTTTCAATAACATCCTAGATCAGGGGTGCCCACACTTTTTCAGCTTGGGAGCTACTTTTACTACCTACCTACAGGGAGCGGGGGGGGGTGCTAGTGGATTGAACGGCGGATAAACTGTGGCGCGCTTACACTAATTGTGTTGCCTTTCTTGGAAGATGAATATTAGTTTCAAAGTGAAACTGTTCAATATACATCATTAAGGTTGATTTGCATTGTTTATACTGCCCCCATGTGTTCGTTTGTGGTACCTAGGATGTGTGCATGTAATAGGGAATTTCTTCAGTTGACGTCACGACATGCAGCCGACTCCCGGTGCTGCAGAGTTCCTTTATTATTACGCTTTTGCTTTGGATACTATTGATCTGTAAGTACCAGAACATAATGTATAACCTGTGTAATATGTTGTAGAAAATGTGAGTCTGTAACATTTTCCCTGTATGAAGAGTTTGTTAGACCATGCTTAATTTAGCTAGCAGCTAGCTTTACATTTAGCTTGCTAGTCGTAGCATTATTGTCAATGCACTATGTTAGGCTTATTGCATTATTAATGTTGGCGTGTTTATTGCACTTACATTTACAGTGGACTGTCCACTTCAAGTAGGGAATGAGTCCTTACCCCAAGTGAAGGAGTTCAAGTATCTCGGGGTCTTGTTCTCGAGTGAGGGAACAATGGAGTGTGAGATGGGCCGGAGAATCGGAGCAGCGGGAGCGGTACTGCAGTCGCTTTACCGCACCGTTGTGACGAAAAGGGAGCTGAGCCAGAAGGCAAAGCTCTCTGTCTACCGGGCCATTTCCGTTCCTACCCTCACCTATGGTCATGAAGGATGGGTCATGACCGAAAGAACGAGATCGCGGATACAAGCGGCCGAGATGGGTTTTCTCCGCAGGGTGGCTGGTGTCTCCCTTAGGGATAAGGTGAGAAGTTCGGTCATCCGGGAGGGACTCGGAGTTGACCCGCTCCTCCTTCGCGTCGAAAGGAGCCAGTTGAGGTGGTTCGGGCACCTAGTTAGGATGCCACCTGGGCGCCTCCCTAGGGAGGTGTTCCAGGCACGTCCAGCTGGGAAGAGACCAAGGGGTAGACCTAGGACCAGGTGGAGGGATTATATCTCTTCGCTGGCCTGGGAGCGCCTTGGGATCCCCCAGTCAGAGCTGGTTGATGTCGCCAGGGAAAAGAAAGTTTGGGGCTCTCTGCTGGAACTGCTACCCCCGCGACCCGACCACGGATAAGCGGGAGAAGATGGATGGATGGATGGACATTTACAGTAAGCTGTTGTTTTCATATGCCTTTGATGGTAAAATGGTGGATTGTATTTGTTTGGTTAAATGGGTTTAATTAGTAGCATTACATACAGATGCTGTGTACATGTATGAGTGTATGTATGAGACGCAGACTAATTGAATTAATGTGTGTATATCAGTTATATGTGTACTAATGTATGCTTTATTTCTGTATTGTATTTCTAGTTTCACAATGAGAATCGTACAGTAAACATCAAGAAAAGCCAAAGCCTTGTGATTATTGGAGGATTCAAGTTGTTAGCTACCTGTCTAGCTTTGCATAGCCGCACACTGCGAGGGCAGAACACTAATTGAGCCGCATAAGCGCATAATAGTGCACCGCTTTGTGCTCCAGATGAGGAGGTGAGGCCCCCTCATAACGGCATGAACCCGTGTGGCACAATACAACTCAGACTGGCTGCCTGTACGTCAATCATGCTCCAGATGAGGAGGTGAGGCCCCCTCATAACGGCATGAACCCGTATGGCACAATACAACTCAGACTGGCTGACCTGTACGTCAATCAAGTGGCAAATGCCATAGTAAGGATGGATGATGGTGATCTACCCACACTACCTTTGCGATCGACGTATTGGGCACCCCTGTCCTAGATGATGTGCTTTTTTAATCCGTTTGAGTTCACTGTGACTTGTCTGACCTTCCTCTTGTCTTTCTTGGCTTAAAGCTTATCTATAACCTGCTGTGTTATTGATCTCTGCAGTGCCTTTTACTCATGATGATGGTGAGCGCGTTTCTTATAAAGCCCGTTGTAAAGTTGCAATACAGATAGTTTATAGAGAGATAGACTGAGGAGAACATATTAAAACTGAATGACCAAAACCACCTAGCATTGCCTTTGCACACGACGTCCAAACAAACATTTTGAGAGTTTGTTGAGCAGGACTCTCGGGATCGTCACGTCTTTCTAGCATTGCCTTGTGCAGAGCAGAGACTAAAACAAGTCACAACCCTTCCCAAAAAAAAATGAACCCTTTCAGCTTTTTGCATCGTTCCTATCTGGGTAGAAATGTGACTCAAACAATATGTTCCCTAGTAAGTCATTAGAAGAGTCAACCCAAAATGATGCTATTGTTCCATTAAACACAATGCATTCTGGGTATGTAAAGAAAAGGGAACACCATGAACAATTCTTGTAAACTGTGCTAATATTTAAAACACATTTCCTTCCTTGTAAAAAATATACAAAGCAATTTTTTAAAACCATTTTGACATGTGTTGTAAATATTCACATGTGTCAGATTGGTGGTGCTACGTGTCCTTGCCGTAGTAATATTTTCTATTAACTGCCAAAATATCTAACATGTCACTGTGATGCTTTACTGTGCAAACTATAATTAACCAATCATTTGTTTAGCTGTTACACATTGTTTAATTTACAGACTATAGCTTCGGTTAATTCAAGATCCATTTCACTCCGAAAAAATATATACAAAGCAAATTCTTTGATTCATTTCACATGAAATATGTAATGCTTTTTAAGATTCTGGTCTTCCTTGCGCATTGCTCCGTTTTCTGGCAATTTCTATCAAAAATGTACAGTGTAAAAGTGAAATGGCCAACATGTCACCGCCGTGCCATTTTGCGCATAACAGGGGAATATTTTGTCAGCGGTTCCACATGTCGATCTCAATTGATTTACAGTCAATAGCCTGGGTTAATTTAAGGTCTATATGTTAATTGGGCTGTTCAGACAGCTGTTTCAAACACACACCAGATGATGCACAGTGTGTGTGTGTGTGTGTGTGTGTGTGTGTGTGTGTGTGTGTGTGTGTGTGTGTGTGTATCCAGCTGTGTTGTCTCGGAGCCAAATAAAGAGCACCAAGAAAGCAGGCCAATGAGTAATGAACATTTCTCGATTTAGAAATGATGCGATGATCGGCTATTTATAGACACCACCGATCAACTATTTGAATGTTAGCTTACAACAAATGGTGGCTTATCAATTAGCACCCTATGATTAGATCAAAATGGCACAATACATTTCAGCATAGAGTACACAACAGCAAGACATTTGGCCAGATGAACGTTTCTCGATTTAGAAATTATGTGAAATCTTTATAGACACCACCAATCAAATATTTGAATATTAGCTTACAACGAAAGATGGCTTATCAATTAGCACCCTATGATTAGATCAATGTTTTAGCCAATAAAACAGCAAGACATCCGTGTCCATATGCATGAAAAACATGGAGCTGCTCATCATGTTGTGTAATAGAAGCTTCGAATGAAGAACAAAGCGAGTCTTGTCCGAACTAAATGTGTTTACTTTATATTAAAGGTGGGGTAGGTAATTCACTTCAGAAACACTTTTTGTTATATTCCATGGAATGCTCTTAACATCCCGATAGCAAGGAATACATGAAATGCTTTGACAATAAATCCATAAAAATATTTCATCTGTGGAAGCTGTGGCGCTGTAAAAAGCACGACCAATCATCTGAGCCGGCCCGGCTAAAGTAACTGGATGGCCTACCTGCCTGTCAGACTTCCATCTGTACCCTCATTGGTCATGTGCGCGTTCGTGTGTGTTGGAAGAGGGGCTCTGTAAGGAAGTCTGAAGGAAGGGGCAGATTGTTTCCGGCTGCGTACTTTCAAATTCTAGCGCACTCGAGCTGCTTTCTCCATTCTTACCTACCCCACCTTTAAAGCAACAGTTTCCAACATGAACGGTTGAAGACGGAGAAATAGCAAGGACACATTCAAAGGGAAATAGCAGGACACATACTCGCACCTCAAAATAAAAGCATTTCCTGTGAAACATTTTACCCTTAACTTCTGTCAAGAAGCAAATAAACAAATGTTTTTACTGCCTTAAATAAAAGAAGTTACAACACATCATAGCTTCACAAGCGGTCAGCCGCATGGTGCCTTTGAGCGCTCAGTCGGTCCATTACATGACTGACAGGGGTGTGCTTAGATTCTGTGTAACCAAGCATATTATGTTGCATTCTGGCCCACCTGTCTAAATGCAAGTTGGGCTCTCCACTGATGTAGTACACCACACACACACACACACACACACACAGTGGCGGTTCTAGACCAATTTGACTGGGGGGGCCACTGGGGGACCAGTTATTTTCTGAGGGGGGCTCAATAAATGCAGGACGAAAAAGAGAACTAGAGAGTATGAAGTAATTGCGCATAAGAAAACAATGCAATACAGTTATTGGTATTTGTTTCAGTACACTTATTTATTTCAGATAGATCTTATAGTTATTACTGTTAGCTTCAGCTTAAGTTATAGTGCAATGTTTGCACTAACACCATATTTATATAAAAATAAAGGCAATGAACAGTTACATCTCTACTTTACATAAGGGTGTCTGCACAATCTCACATTACAGCAACAAAATCCTGAGTACCAGAAAATATACATTAAAAAAAATAAACTTTTCATTGTTAGGGGGGCCACAGGGGGGTCAGAGGTCAGTGTTAGGGGGCACTGGCCCCCCTGCCCCCCCTAGAACCGCCCCTGACACACACATTCATTATTTAGCTGCAAGAATGCAAATCAAAGCACGGCGCTCGGAGGTAGGGCTTGTGGAGGACAAGGTAAAGTGAGGAGAAGAAGTCATTTTTACAGTGTCCTTCTCTAAGCCTTATTACTCAGGAAGAAAATGAACACAACTGATACATAATAAAAAGGGCTGAAAAACCTTGGCTATCTCTAAAACACTCTTTTCTCTTAAACAAAGGGAGTGGAAAAAGACTTTGTCAGCAGCTCGGGCATCTGTCTCTTTTCCCTCCTGCTCGCCTTGAGATAAAAGAATCAGCAAATTGGCATGATGATTGTTAATGGGATCTTTATTAACCAAATTATTGTCTCGCTGATAATTGCTTTCTCAATGTCATGTAACTGTTTTACACTGTCATTTAATTAATGTTGGGCATTTATGGAGTGTATTAGCCCACATCAGGGTGACTCTCCATCACCTCTCTGATGAGGATAATCATGCAGATTTTTACTAGACGGAGTTATGCTGCATTTCAGAACCGTGCGGATAAATCCACGGTGTAATAAAATGAGAACATTGTGTGCAAGTATTTGTTGCACATGCATACACACATAAGGGTGCATTAGAAAGCACAAGCATCCATCTAAAATACAATTGTGCTGCAGCGACAGAGATGAGCTTTTAATTAGTGGCCCGGCAGACTTAACCCCACCTCATCATTCTACCTGAACTAAGACCCCGCGATTAATTGACTGCTCCAAGTTGTCATGGAGCTTCATTTCCTCAGGACACGTCGAGTGTGCAACACATATTGCTTGCGTAAATATTGAGTCTTTAGTAATGACATATGGTGAACAGGGCTTTGATGCTCCATCTTCCCCCCATTGCCGTGAGATGCATTCATGTGTCTTAGTCTGCCTGTAAGATTAAAACCCCATCATGAAATGTTTTTATTCCCATTTCTCTTTTTGCAAATCGGTACAGGTTTAATTGTTCTTTTCAACCGTCACAAAGTTGCTCGCTGCCCTCAGCTGGTGACTCTATTACGGCTCCGTCTGACTGTCAAGACAATGTGAAGTGCGTTTTTGAAATGTCAGAAAAATAGAATGCAAATTAGATGCATTTTCATTAGCTATAGGTGGAAGGGAATAAATAGCCTTTTAGAGTATAACTTGCTCAGACAGAAAATAAACCCAGTGGATTTAAAGCATGTAACCAAGCTATATTACATAGTGCATTATATGGAGAATGTTGCCATCAGTACAGTGACAACACACTCTTCCATTTCCATACAGCTAAAGTCTAAATAAAAGGTTCATAAAGCACTGTTTGGTTTCAACACAACTGCACTTATTTAGATTGGAATAAAAGTGACCACAGCAGAATATGCACAAGCTTGTTTTGCATGCTATGATTAGACATGCCAGCGATGATGTACGAGGGGCACCTGAGATGATAAGGTACCATGGGATGCAGAAAGCAAGCCATGGCCAATAAGCATGCTCCTGCCTTGGGCTACACTTATATATATACAGACCCGGGTACTTACACGTCCAGAGCAAGGAGTAATCGCTCTGCCAAGGAATGCAGACCTCAAAACTCACGAGGGGATTTTGAGAATGAAAGAAAAGGGCTAAAGAAATAGAATAAGGTTTCTACCATGGGTATCGCTGGATAAACATTTCAATCTAACGGCTAAGCAATATAAACTCTTTCTAAAAGGTCAAAGTTACCCAATTATTATCTTCTTTGCCTTTCCAAAAAGCGTATGGGCTTCTTGTGACCTCAAGCAATAGACACAACAAATATCAATAAAAAATACACTTAGGGCAAAGCGGTGTACATTTTGATGACCCGTGTTCGGTTGTAAGCCATTAAATATTACCCACTGTACTTGTAATTATATTTTTGCTATTACGCACGTCTCAGGGTCTGGCAAGGACAAACCAAGAAAGGGGAACTGACTAATAAATGACACTGTAAAACAAATGATGGCTTTCGGCTTTATTTCCTGCTAAATGGTGACCGAAATACCAGCGATTCCTTTGTTCCTTCAGGTATTGGCAGCTGCACCCCGTTATAAATGTCTCGGCAGAATTGTAGGCCGAGTGAAACACAGGAATTAGTTACCTCTATTTACGCTCTGCTGCCGATATTCTCCCCCCCCCCATTAAGCTTTCCCCCACAGATTTACGGGCGGAGGAAGGATGTACGGCT